AGATTCGCACATCACCCATCTTCTGCTGGCCCAAGACACTGCAGCTCCAAAGGTAGCCCAAATATCCTCGGAAGAGCACCCCAAGAGAAACAAACTTGACCACTGTACTATCATCAAGTTCTCCCTGACCACTGACTGAAGTGGCCATGAAGAAGATCGAAAATAACAACACTCTTGTGTTCATTGTCCCTGTCAAGGCTATGAAGAAGCTCTATGACACTGATTTGGCCAAGGTCAGCAGCTTGATCAGGCCTGATGGAGGGAAGAAGGCACATATATATTCGACTGGCTCCTGGCTATGATGCTTTGAGTGTTGCCAACAAAATTGGAATGAATCATCTCAACTAAGTCCAGCTGACTAATTCTAGATATGTTTTTACCACACACAAAAACAAAAATTAAAGAGGAGATGAATGATACATTTCAAAGAAAATATCAACGAAGGCAACAGAATGATAAATAAAGGAATGAAATAGAAGATAAAATTTGAGATATACTTAAAAAGAAATCAGCAACTCAGCAGAAAGCCAAGTGTGAGGCGTAGAGAACAGACATGAGAAAAGCACCCAGAATGCAGAGGGAAAGGAGAAAGATGAAACTAAATAGCAAGAAGATGATGGTGATGGAGGGCAGACGGTGGAGATACAGGTGCATGTGTGGTGGTTCAGTCTGTGTGTCAGCTGGGCTGGGCCTGGTTGAGTGGCTGGGCAGCTCGATGTAGTACTCCCCATGATGAGACTGGTAATCAACTCCACGGTGGAATCTACTGTGAGCAGCTGAGTAGCTGCCCTAGGGATATAGTCTACTTCCTGTATATATAAGGAGAAGCCTTGGGAATGGTCTCTAGCTTATGGCACGCTTGGACCCTGCATGTAGCCGTGCCATTGTTCAGCAGCCTGCCATGGTCTGCTGATCTTGGGACTTACAACGGACTTAAATTAATGGCCTGCCGTGTGGTTTGGTAACATCAGGACTGTACCATTTTATTTGTCGACCTTGGGCTTGTCAGTCTCAGCAGCCAGTAGCTGCCTGAGTGAAGAATTGCCTCTAGCTTCAGTGGGCCAGGAGCTGGAGGCGGAGCTGAAGCCCAAGGTCGAGGGGCTTTCACACAGCCCCTAGAGCCTGGCACTTTGAACTTGGACTTCTAGCCTCCCGAACTATAAGAGAATAAACTCTTGTTTGTTAAGGCCATCCCGTTTATGGTATATCTCCTGTCAGAGTGGTACCAGGTAACTAGAACAGATGATATGCTTCAGAGGAAAAGAACAGAAGTGAACAAGAAAAAAATATCCAAAGAAATGACAGAAGAAAATCTTCTAACATGTTAGAAGACCTGACTTTACATACTGAAAGGACTCTCCTGGACAATCAATCAAACAATCAATCAATAATAAATAAATAAGTACAGAATATGCAACACCTATATCTGGATAAGGTTAATGAAATTCAAAGAGAAAAGACCCCCTCCAACTATTCAGGCAAAATATCTAAGGAATCTAGGACAGAAAAGAAAGGTATGTATATAAAACAAAAACAAACTCACTGCTGTCAAGTTGGATCCGACTCATAGCGACCCCTCCTTGGGTTTCCAAGGTGGTATCACTATGGAAGTAGATTGCCCAACCTGCCTTCTTAGGAGTGGCTGATGGGTTTGAACCGCCAGCCTCCTGGTTAGCAGTCAAGTGTCTTAGGCCCTATAGGAAGAAGAATAAGCACCCTGGTTTCTTTATTTCTAAGGTGGAAAGCTAGATACAGTGTTAATTTTTAAAGCCAATAAGTTTCAGCATATCACTTAAAGTTATGATGTAATCATGTAAAAGTTATTAAAAAGTACTCACTAGCATAACAAAAATAAACTTTTATTTATTTATAAAATTCCAAAATACCATAGGGGGAAAAAAAAAACACATCTCAATAGTGAATCAGAAAAAAAAAACAAAGACACATATAAAATAGAAAAGGAAGTAAGATCAAGATTAAATATCTCTACTGAAAAAAGATTCTTACTAGATTTTTTTTTTTTACATCAAAAACAAAACTTATACACAATCTATAGGAAAATTACCCCCAGCTTAGCTACACAACAGCATTGCTTGGGGGAATTTTCACAAAATCCCAATGCTCAGGACGGACCCAAGACGAATTATACCAGAATCTTTGTGGGAGAGAGAGATCCAGGTGTCAGTATTTTTAAACTCCACAAGAGATTCCAATGAATGCAGCCAAAGCTGAGAATCATTAATGTACAGTAAAGAGACTCAAGAAGATTGGGAACAAAAGGATGGACAGACATAGACCAAGCCAATGCAACTGCAAAGAAAACAAGGCCCATGCTATTTATATCAGATAAGGATGAGTTCAAGGCAAAAAGTACTAGACAGGCATTCAATCTTTAATAATGAAAGCACTATCTGCCGTGAAGCCGTAGCAGTCATGAACGTGTTGTGGGCCGAATTACAGACCATCAAAATGTTAGGTTGAACTGCATGAAATTGACATTTTTACAGGTCAAAATTGATTGACTACTGGCAGTTTCAACTTTATAAATAAAATCAAAATATGTTATATATATGATACACTACTTCATCACTGTCTGTTGGTTTGTCGCACTGTGGTGGCTTGCATGTTGCAACGATGCTGGAAGCTATACCACTGGTATTTCAGACACCAGTAGGGTCACCCCTTGTGGACACATTTCAGCAGAGCTTCAAGACTAAGACAAATTAGGAAGAAAATTTTGGCAATCTGTTTCCAAAATTAGCTGGTGAAAACCTTACGGATCACAACAGATCATTGTCCAATATAGTGCTGGGAGATTAGCTTCCTAGGTTGTAAGGTACTACGCAATCGCTATAACAATGGACTCAAACCTACTGATATTCAAGAAGATGGTGTGGGACCAGGCAACATTCTTTTCCATTGTCCATAAAGTCGTAATGAGGAGGAGCTGACTTAACAACAAATCCCTCTGCCAAAGACTGATGCATACTAAACAGCTGATGAGTAGACTCTGACCTTCATATCACATGATAAATTACTGTGCCATTATAATAGTTATAAGTTAATATATAATAAAGCCCTCATACCCTCCATAGTTCTGAGGCAGCAAGTAGTGGGATAGATCTGAAGTCTGGCTCCACCATGACTTACCAGCTGCATAGCAAGTTACTTAACCTCTCTGCTCCCTAAACTCCTCATCTCTAAAGTAGGGATTGGGGTAGTGCCTAAGGCATCTGACTGCTAACAAGAAGCCTGGCAGTTTAAACCCACCAGCCACTCCTTGGAAGGGAGGTTGTTGGGCAATCTATTTCCGTAGTGATACTACCTCGGAAACCCAAGGAGGGGTTGCTATGAGTCGGATCTGACTCGACGGCAGTGAGTTTGTTTTTTTTTTAAAGTAGGGATAAAGGAGTTCTGGTGGCACAGTGATTAAAGCATTTGGCAGCTAACCAAAAGTTTGACAGTTTGAACCCGCTAGCCGCTCCTTGAGAGAGCCGCTCCATGAGGCAGTTGCTTCTGTAAAGATTTATAGTCTTGGAAGCCTTATGAGGCAGTTCTACTCTGTCCTATGGGGTTGCTATGAGTTGGAATCAGGTCCATGGCAGTGGGTTTGGTTTTGTTTTTTTAAAGGAGGGGTAAGATCCCTGGGTGGTGCAAATGGTTGGCACTCAACTGCTAACCTAAAAGTTGACAGTTCAAACCCACCCAGTGGCTCCGAGGGAGAAAAGCGGAGGCAATCTGTTTCCAGCAGGATTATAGCCGAGAAAACCCTATGCAGCAGTTCTATTCCGTAACACATAGAGTTACCAGGACTCCAGACAACTAACAACAACAACAAAGCAAAGATAATATGAATGCTGATCTCAGAAACCCGAGGACAGGTTGCTGTGGGTCGCATCGACTCAATGGCAGTGAGTTTGTTTGTTTTTTGGTACCATCTAGAATATCAGACAGTGTTTCAGGAACCATTCCCTGGAGAAGGATATCATGCTTGATAAAGTGAAGGGTCAGGGAAAAAGGGGAAGGCCCTCAACGAGATGAATAGACATAGTGGCTGCAACGATGGGCTCAGGTATAGCAGGGATTGCGAGGCTGGCACAGGACCGGGCAGTGTTTCGTGCTGCTGTGCACAGGGTCGCTATGAGTCGGAGACAACTGGACGGCACGTAACAACACCAACCATCTAGAATTGCTGTGAGCATTAAATAAGTAAATATGTGGAAGTGTCTGGTACGTGGTATATACTCAATAGATGTTACCATTATCTTCCTTTTTCAAAACCATCTCACCTGTGCTGATGGGCTGGTTCTTGCCCGTGAACACTGGTGTTTGGGGCTGTGATCTGGTGGCAGCAGTGGGAAGTGAAGAGAGAGGGGACTGTGTAAGGACCCAGGAGCTCACTGCAAGCATTTCACTGGGAATCCTGGCCCACCCTGCTCCTTTCACGCAGCTAACCACCACATCATAAGGTGAGCTCATGTCAGAAAGGAACTCTCAGCTCCTCAACTTTGCTCTCTATCCAAGTCCTGGACTTTTCCTGTTCATCCTGTCTCAAGTTCTGTTTCCTTGGCCTGCTCCTCGTCACCTGGTCACCTGGCCTGTCCCTTTGCCAGAGCTTCTGGCTGCAATCTCCCACCTCTTGGAATCAGTGGCTGCTCCACTATGAATCCGCCAGAGCTTCACCAGACTTCTACTTCCGGACCCTTCCTTAAGTAAAGTTTAAAAGGCAAGCCTGACCCAGCCTCCCAGAGTCTGCTTTCCCAAGGGTTTCCTCCTTCTTTTGGCACAAGCGGTTTGCAATTGGCTATGAACCTGCCATTTTGAGCCTACCCAGTGGCATCGTGGAAGAAATGCCTGGCAATCTGCTTCTGTAAAGATTACAGCCAAGAAAACCCTACGGAGCAGTTCTGCTCTGTAACACAGGAGGCCTCCTGAGTCAGAATTGATTCAATGGCAACAGGTTTAGTTTCTGGTTTGGGTTGGGAAGGCTATGGGCTCACCTCCTCCTTCTTGGAGTTGACGACGACCAGATGGGCATTCTCCAGCTGGCAGTACTTGTCAGCCTCAGACCAGGTCATTCCAGTGCGAGAAAACCAGTAGCAGCTGCCTTCGTGCTCCATCCAGTTGATAGGGCAGCATTCTGTGCCTGAGGAAGAGGGGGCAGAGGCCATGAGACCCTGCAGAGAGGGCAGGTCACAGGTACTGGTGACTCCCCACCCCTACCATTGCTCTTGATGTACGCCGTCTGACACGCCAGGATGCGCAGATCAACTGGGAAATGCTTCAGGTGAAGGAGCAAGCTGGCATGATCTAGGAGGACACAAGGACAGACAACGATGTGGACAGACACAGTGTGGGGTCCCACCGACCAGGACCAGGCACAGGAGGCCAGCCTTTGACTGGGGACGCACACACACACACACACACACAATCCAGGGAGACGTGGCTGACCTGATTTCAGGTCCTGATTCTGTTTCTCCAGCTTGGCTTCCAGAAATGTTGTCCTATCACTTGCATTGCCTCCTGGAAGAGAGAAAAGCTAATTCTTTTCCCTCAATTCTGCTTCCTTAACATCCCTCCATCTTCACTGCTTATGTGGCACCTGTCTTGGCCACTATCACCTTTTCCTGGCCCGTTTCAAGGATCTACCCCCTGGCTTCCGTGACTCAATCTATTCTCTCTACATGGCCAACGTGATTTTTATGAAGCACGAACCTAATCTGCTCACTCCCCTGCTTAAGTCCTTCCAATGGACCCTTATTTTCTCTAAATAAAGCCTCAATTAACATGGCTTTCTTGCACAACCTGGCCCCTACATGCCTCCCTGGCCCACCACTCACCCCATCAGTTATCAGCTCCAGCCACATCAGAATTGAAAGCTCACAACATAGGTAGTGGTTTTTTGTACCCTTGGCCATAGAAGATTCTGTTCTATCTACCTGGCACTTAACCTCCATCTTCTTCACCTTCCCAACTTCTACTCACCCTCCAAGACCCCACAACTCAGGAATCTGCATTCCTGGGAGCCTCACCCTGCATCTCAGGCCAGGTTGTCCCAGTCTGCAAGCCCAGCACCCTGAACTCGCCTCATTTACAGACCCTGAGCTAGGCATCTACACTACACCCAGTAGGTCTGTGTGGATAAATTAGCACCTGAACCACCTAACCCATCCCCTGTCCCACTCACCATGGGAGCTGAGAGCCTGGATCTCCAGCAGGGTGCTTGATGAAAAGTTGTTGAAAGTTTCTTTCAGAGCCCGCAGCTCCCTTTGCATCTGGGTGCCTTGTCAAGAGACAGGGGGAACAGGACAAGGTGGAGGGGGCTGTGTCCCTATGACAGTCCTGCCACTGCCTATGCAACTGTCCCCCTCACCACGCCTCACTGCCTTCATCACTATTATTGTTAGCTGCCATCAAGTCAACCGCTGACTCATGGTGACCCCATGTACCGTGGGATGGGACTGTTGTGGTCCATAGGGTTTTCATTGGTTAATTTTCAGCAGTAGATTGCCAGGCTTTTCTTCCTAGTCTATCATAGTCTGGAAGCTCTACTGAAACCTATTCAGCATCATAGCAACATGCTAGCCTCCACAGACAGACAGGTGGTGGCTGCACGAGAGATGCGTTGGCCAAGAATCAAACCTGGAATTCAGCAGGGTGAGAATTCTACCACTGGACCACCACTGCCCCCTCCATCATTCACCTCATCATCTCCCCATCTTGGCCCCCATCACTGCCCCATAACCACCCTCATCACCGCCCCCCATTGCTTTCCCTGTCATTGCCCTCCACCCTTGTCCAGTCACTTTCTTCCATTATTCCTTCCAACATCATTGCCCCATCACAGCCCCTAACCTTCATCTCTTTCCCTGTCATGGTTCTTATTGCTTTCACATTGTCCCATCTTTGCCTTCATCAGTTCCCCCACAGTAATACTCACTTTTGGACCCAATCACGCAGATGACCAGAAGCAGCAAAATGTTGAAGGCCAGGGCAAGCAGGCTGAGGCAGCGCCTGGAGCAAAGACGCCACAGGAAGGGCTGAGGGGGAGGTGGCCCTGCAGGAAAAGGGGTGTCAGGAAAAGGAAGGGGTGTCCAAAGGACAAGGAAGTTAGAGAGTGAAGCATAACAGAAGCATACAGAGAACAGAAATCTAAGGAAGTATGACCTGGGGTAGGAGGAAGGAGTCTTGAGGGAGGGGAAGGATGTTGGGGGAGTCAGTGGGCACACGGACATCCACGTGCCCTGTGTGCAAAGCCCCATTCTTGGGGAGGGGGTGTCTTAAGTCAATCTCTTTTGAAATATAAAAGAGATTAAACAAGTGAGTGGAAGTAGAGATGGGTAAGACAGATGCCAAGAACATATGGAGATCTCCAAGGAACCAGGAATCAGAAGTTGAAGAGATAAGGATCTTCCCACAGAACCAACAGAGACAGAAAACCTTCCCCTCTAACTGGCACCCTGAATTTGGACTTCTAGCCTACCAAACTGTGAGAAAATAAATTTCTGTTTGTTAAAGCCAAAAGAAGAAAGAAAGAAAAAAGCCCCACTTTTGGAGCTCTGAAACAGGGGTACACAGAGGTGGCTAGGGGACAGATCTGGTCCTTAAGGACACATCCTGAGAAACAAGGTCTATGAGTGGGTTTCCTCTCCTGCAGAGGGGCTTCAGATCACCTCTGACCTTCTTGATCTCTGCTCTTTTGTCCCTTTGGCTGAGGTCCCCAGAGGCTGGCCTTGCGTTCCTCTTAGACTCCATGCCTGGGACCCTCCAACAAGTCCAGGACTGGAACAATTCCTCCTCCCCACAGTCCACTGGGATCCTCGAGTCTAGATCATTTCACCATGGACCACTCCCCAAGGGACACCTCCAAGACTCCATCTTCATCATCATCCCCCACCACTCAAAGCCTCCTCTCTCCATCTCCCCCTGCCCTTGCTGCCCTGGCAACCCTAGTTCCAGTGCAAACACTCCCTTTAACCCTCAGCCATCATGCAGAAACCTCTTCCTCCCCTTGATCAGACTGAACCCTGACCATACACACACATATATTCACACACATTCATATACACTCATACACACATTTTTATACTATCACACAAAAACACAAACACACACTTATTAATATACATTCTTATGTTCTCATGCACACCTACATTAACACATTCTCTCACACACACTCACACATATATCTTTGCACACATTCATACTGTCTCACACACACACCCTAACACACACATTCACACACACACACTCACACCCACATCATCACACACAGCGCTGCCTCACCACTCCTGCTGTACTCTTGGCCCTGAACTCCTGCATTTGCACCATCCACCTACAAACAAAACACTTCCTCTTTTCCACCTCAGATCTAGATTCTGTAGACTTCTCGCTCTTCATCAAGTATCATACTCCCACAGCCTGACTGAGGTGAGACAGAGACCCAGAATCTTCCTCCAAAGTTCATATCCTGCCACTATCCTGGGTTGGACATCATCACTGAAACCAGCCAACAATAACCTTGACCTCCTCACTCCAATTGTTGTCACCCACCTCCACTTCAACTCCACCTAGGACCCCGTCTTGACCCCAGAGGCCTCACTTCTGATGCCCTGACTGCCCACTATGGGCACATCTCACTCCCACCCCTCACTTGCAATTCACCCACCAACAGCTCCTCCCAACCACAGTTTTCCCTATCTAGGCAGGACTTCATGGCTAAGGCCCTGACTTCTCTCTCCAGTCCGGTCCACTCCGTGGGCCCTTGTCTGTCTGCCCAGTTTGACCTGTAAACACCCAGTTCTGGGTTACCCCAGCAATAGACCTTTGTTTTTCTACCCTGAAACCAGACAGCCCACAGGTGTATTCCCATGTGGTGTTAACTAGCTCTGAGACCGTGAACAAGTCATTCAGTTTCTTGATGCCTCAATTTTCTCATGTGGAAAAAGGGGCCAATGAAAGTACTTACCTCATTGGTTGTTCTGAGAACTAAATGAGTTAAAACATGTAAAATAAGTAACTTAATAAGTTTGAAAGTAAAAGAAAGGGCCTATCCTGGATAAACAGGAACCAGACTTACTCTCCCATCTACAACAACTAAAACAAAAGTAGACAAACATAAGAAACAACAGCTGTCAAGACACTGGATGTTATAGTCCACAAAAACAATGTTCTATATCCTACTTTGGTGAGTAGCGACTGAGGTCTTAAAATCTTGTGAGCAACCATTTAAGATGCAACTATTGCTCTCTACTCATCCAAAGCAGAGTGAAGAATATCAAAGATGTGTAGAAACAGTTCGTCCAAAGGTCTAATGGACCACATGGACCCCAGCCTCCATGATCCTGAGATGATGCCCAGCTACCACTGCCAAACACTCCGAAATAGGAGATCTTGAATAGAATGGGAGAAAATTATGGAACAAAACTCAAAATCATTAAAAAAAAAAAAAAAAAGACTAGGCCTATTGGTCTTATAGAGACTGGTGAAACTATGGTCTTTAGACACCCTTCAAGCATAAAACTGAAATCACCCACATACATCACTTTTCAGCTAAACAATGGACAGACCTATAAAGTAATGGTAATACCAGGGAGGTACTCAACCCTTAGAGCCATTGGCCATTTTGATTAGCCTTTTGATCAAAGGGGCAGCATTTTCCCAGGGATGAAGCTCAGAAGACAGGTAGGAATAGGAAAGAAGGATGAATGGAAATAGTGAACACAGGGAAGTGGGAAGCATGCTTTTACTTTGTGGGGATTGCCATTGATGTCATGAAAATAAAATGTGTATGAGTTGTTGAAATGAAAACCAATTTGCTCTCTAAATTTCCACCCAAATCACAATAAACAGTTGGGGTTTGTTTGTTTTGTTTTGTTTAAAAAAGACACTGGATGTTAGTCAACAAAGGGCGACGATTTCTGAGAACTGGGAAATAAACAAGGTGGGCCCTATGGTTGCCTCAGCTCACTGCTTGGAGGAAGTTTTCAGGTCATGGGTCAGGGAGAGGGGATTCAGGTAAATCCTAGTAGACTCCCTGGGTTAAAGAGACAGAGCTGAGAGTCTGGGAAGACTATCATGGCTAGAATTCATAGGACAGAGCACAAGAGAGAAAGCTACAGAGAGAGAACTCTAGCAATCAGCTGAGTACTGAGTGCTACATGTAAATAAATTACTTTAGACCAAGAAAAAAAAAATCTGTCTGGCAATCATACGGAGCCAGGAATAGTGCTAATTTCCACCGACCAGACTGGAAAAACTCATAATCCTCAGGGCTTTAGGTAAAGTATTCCAAGAAGTCAGTAGCAGACCTTAAAATTAGCCATAGACCGAGCACTGCTCTAGACCATCTAACAAATCCATAAAAAGCAAGACCCAAAAGGATCCACCTGATTCCAATAACTTAAGTACATCTCAGAACAAAGCTCAAGAATATTTGGAGGAATAAAAAAATGCCCAGCAGCCAACAGAATAAAAAACACAATGTCTGGCATCCGATCAAAGATTACCAGACGTTCAAAGAAACAGGAAAATGCAACTCATATGTGGAGATGAATAAATCAATAAAAATGGATCCAAAACTGATACAAATATTAGAATTAACAGACAAGAACATCAGAGCAGATGTTATACCTATATTCCAAATGTTCAAAAAGTTAAGTACAGCTACAGGTATTGACTCATCAGACACAAACAGTAAGTAAGTAACCAAAAATACAGAGAATAAACAAGGCTACAAGAGCCACACACCATCTACCTTGAAACCAGAAGAACTAGATGGTGGCTGCCTACCACCACTTACCACAGCTACCACCTACTATTCTGACCAGGATGACAATAATTGGTTCAGGATAGAATGGAGAAAAAAAATATGGAGCAGAACTCAAACTCTTATTTGGAAAAAAAAAAAATCTACACAAACTGGAACAGTAGAGAACAGAGAAACCTCTGAGATTATCACCATGAGACACTTTTTAAACCTAGACCTAAGTCTATCACCTTTTAGCAAAATGGCAAAGTAGCACACAAATAAAGGCTATTAGCTATAAAATCAGTGCCCTACTTAAAAACCAACAGTGTGAGACCAAAAGGTCAACAATTTCTCAAAAGCAAAGATGAAAGGATAAGGGGGCAGGGAAACTAGAGGACTGGAAAGGGAACAAATAGAACACAGTGAAAGTGGATGTTGACACACTGTGATAAGTGTAACTAATGTCACTGAACAATTAGTGTAGATATTGTCAAATGGGAACCTAACTTGCTGTGTAAACTTTCATCAAAAATGGAATAAAATGTTATTTTTAAAAAAATGTTTAGTAGAGACATGGAAGATATTAAATGTACCAAATTGAATGTTCAGAGATGAAAACTCCAATGTCTGAAATGAAAAATACACTGGGTAGCAATATTGCAAATTAGATATGTGTAAGAAAAAAATAGTTAGCTTAAAGTCATAGCAATAATAATGGAAATGGCTGCCGTATATCTTGTAGTCTAGATGTCACAGGTTTACAGATGGATAGGAACTTTGTCCAAGAAATATGCTTAAAGTCCCACCCATATTTGATTCAAAAGATTCAGAATACTAAATTTTGGACTTGGAGTGAATGTAAGACTTCAGGATGATATGATGAGGTGATGTGTTTTCATGTGGCAAGGACATGAATTTTCCATGGTCAAAGGGTGGAGTGTTGTGGATTGAATTGTGTCTTCCCACAGTATGTGTTGTAAATCCCAACTTCTATGCTTTCAGTTATAATCCTATTTGGGAATGACTTGTTTTTGTTATGTTCGTGAGGCAGGATTAGTGTAGGGTGTGCCCTGAGTTGCTCTCTTCTGAGATGTAAAGGAAAAAGAAAAAGGAAAGAAGCAGAAATGGAGGAAGAGAGATGGCAGGCCACCTGAAGATTACCCAGAAGCTCAGAAGAGACAAGGGCCTTCCTGAAGAGCTGTCAGAGAGGGAAAGCTTTCCCTAGAGCCAGCACCCTGAATTTGGACTTCGAGCCTCCTAAACTGTGAAAAAAAAAAATAATAATTTCTGTTTGTTAAAGCCACCCACTTGTGGTACTTCTGTTACAATAACCCTAAATAACTAAGACACCCCCCTTTTAGGAAGGAAAAGTGGGAGGAAACATTGCATAAATAAATAAATAGAAAGGAAAAGTGCTGGGATGGGCATGAACGTGCCTGAAGACTAAAATCTCGAGAGAGAGAAAAAAAATCCAAAAATGGTGACAGCATCAGTGAGTTATGGACTACTTGCAGTAATTGGAGTTTCCAAAGAGAGAGAAAAATATTTGAAGAACCATAGCCAAATTATTTCCAAATGTGACGGAAACTTGCAAAAGTCGTACAGTGGTCAAAGCATTCAGCTGTTAACCAAAAGGTCGGCAGTTCAAACCCACCAACTGCTCAACAGGAGAAAGATGAGGCAGTCTCGTAAAGATTTACAGCCTTGGAAACTCTATGAGGCAGTTCTACTCTGTCCCATAGGCTCACTATGAGTCAGCATTGACTCTATGGCAGTAAGCTTTATGAATATGCAAAGTGCCTGGAAGATTGGAATATGATACTGGTAAGCAGTTGATAAATGTCAGCTAGCATGATGATGGAGTCTCCTTGGTAGTGTGTCACTGTTGCTGTCATGTGCCGTTGAGTCAGACTCGACTCATAGCAACCCCTCCTTGGGTTTCCGAGGCAGTATCACTATGGAAGTAGATTGCCCAACCTTCCTTCCAAGGAGTAGCTGGTGGGTTTGAACCACCAGACTTCTGGTTAGCAGTCAAGTGTCTTAGGCACTACACTACCAGAGCTCCTTCCTTGGTAGTACAAACAGTTAACCAACTCAGCTGCTGACTGAAAGGTTGCAGGTTCAAGTCCACTCAGGGATACCTCAGGATAAAGGGCTGATGATCTATTTCCAGAAAATCAACCATTGTAAACTCTATGGAGTCACCATGAGTCAGAATCAACTGGACAGCAACTGGTTTATTGGTTTAACATGGTGACTGCACCCCTCCCAGGCACAGAGGCTACTGGAGAGAAATGCACTAACCAGTTGCACCACCTTGACTTGCCACTCAGTGTTGTCCATCCATCCTCTTAGGTGAGATCCCTCTCCCATTAAATCCAAGGCCTCTGGACTCTCATTAAGCTTCCTGCTCAATCTCTGAATCTTCTCACCCACAGAAGAGTCAACAATATCCAAAATTATTTTTGAATGTTTACTAGGTACCAGACATCATGTGGGCACTGGGGATGGAGAGCAGAGCAAGACAGGCATGGTCTTTTCCCTGTGGAGGCTACTGCCTGGTGGGAAGATCTGATAGCCCACTACACAGGAAGAGGACAGACCATGGGTGGAAACACCTCACCCTCCTGCCCTCCCTAGCTCCCACCCACACCTGCAGTAGCACCAGCCCTGCCTGAGTTTGGCAGCCTCTTCCCAGCCCAAGTTAACCAATCCCCCTCCTGCCTCCATAGAACCTTGATCCATTACCAGCATCCACAAGCCCTGACACTCACCCCCACCCCCGTCACTCTGCTGGCTCCTGCCCTTCTCTCTAGAACTACTCAGGCCTCTCTCACCGTGAAACCTTTGCCCAGACACTCAGACCTTCAGTCAAGATTTGTTAGAGAAAAGAGGGGGAGAGGGGCCAGGAATCTTCCAGGATCTCTCTGTGCCCATTCATCCCCAACACATACACTTCTTTCTTACTCGGCATCTTTGCACACACACACACACAGCACACATGGAAGGAAGAGGGAGAGAAAACCATCTCAGCTTCCAGTTGTTACCACACCTCTGAGCACACACCCTTTCCTGGGGTCCTGGGCTGAAGTGGAAGGTGGGGTTGGGGCAAGTAGAGGCCTCAGGCACGTCACACCCGAGACACTCAGTCCCTGTTCACAGAGTCACTATGACCAAGACTTCAGAGAGCAGAGCACCATGGGGAGCAGAGGCAGAGGTGGCATGAAGCCCCAGACACTTGCCTTTCCAAAACGGATCTTCTCTTCTGGGATTCTGCCCACAAGGGCCTGGCCCCTCACTTCTACCCAGCTGGTGGTCATTTTCCTCAGAGTCCAGCTGCTGGATGTCTTGAAAGTCCTTCACCATGATGGGCCCAGGACTGGAGCCGGACCTGGGCTGGGTTTAGATTGTTTTTAGGGGTGAGGTTGGGGCTGGTGCTTGTGGTGCTTGTAGAGGCTGGTGATAAAAGTCAAATCTAGGTTGAGGTGACATGTTGGTTTGGATGTGAGTTTGGAAGTGACCTTGAGGTTGAGGTTTGAAATACAGCTGGGGCCTATTCTCTTTCAGGAGATTGCCTGAGGCTGTGACAGAGGCCTTGAGCCTTCCTTCCTTACTCTTATAGGCCAACACACGGGTATCTTCCCATTCAGCCCCCAATACCCCTAAAATGTTGTTGTTGTTATGTGCTATGGAGTCAGACCCGACTCACAGCAACTCCTTCTTGGGTTTCCGAGGCAGTATCACTACGGAAGTAGATTGCCCAACCTTCCTTCCGACCCCTGAACTAGGGTCTCCTTAATCCCAAGTATCTCTAGTCCCACCGGCCTCCCCACACTTGATTACCTGCTAAAAGTGGAGGTATGACTCCTGGATCTCTCAGGCTGCCCAGGCTCCAAGATGAAGGGGGTTAAAGCCTGGGGACTGGAGTAGGTGGTGTTAGATAGAAGAGGAGCGATGGGGGCTGGCCTATGCAAGGCCCAGAGCCCAATATTCTGAGTTCCAGGGGTTTCCACCTTGCATCTCCTGTCCCTGGGACTTTGGACAGTAAACAGAAGTGGATATGGAGTTGGAACTCAGGTGAAGGGTAGAGGGGGTAGGGAATAGGACCATCTCTGTCCTAGTCTCCAGAGAAAGCTATCTCCTAGACTGTCCCACCATCCCCACATGCCAGCCACCGCACTCTCATTGCTTGATTTGGGAGAGGGGCCAGGCCTGGGGGAGTTGGGTACGGTTTGCTGTTATCTCCCTGCTCCTCCCCTACCCCCTCTCACTTCCTGTCTTTGAATTTCCCAGAATTGTTGGTGTTTCCAAACACCCTTACTAGGATCAGAGGGACGATTAACATAAACTTAATGCCTCCTAAGCAAAAACTCCCTCGTTCCCCCTGCCTATGACCCTGGTAACCACTAATAATCTTTGGGTTCTGTATCTTTGTTTATTTCATATAAGTGTAATTGTATAGTATTTGTTCTTTGGCAACTGGCTTATTTTGCTCAGCTTGATGTTTTCAAGGTTCATCCACATGGTGGCGTTGCAATGCAATGAATTACTTAACACGGCCCTTCTAGCATAGTCTTCCGTTTTGTGATTATTCTAAATCCTAGCCTGTGGTTGCCTCGGAAACCCAAGGAGAGGTTGCTATTAGTCAGATCTGGCTTGATAGTGAGTGATGCCTGTGGTTAGGGTCCCATTTTGGGATGAATTCTCCATTATGTTGATGAGGCAGGATTAGGGTGGACTGTACCTTGAGGCCTGCCTTAATGGAAGATGTGACTCAAACCATCACTCTTAAGTTTTCTTGAGGGCATATGTACGAATGTTCTGGCAAAATACACCCCCAAGCTCTGGATCCTGTGTCTGGTTTGTCGTTATCTCACCCCCAGATCTGGGGCTTGACACAGCAGCTGATCATGTGACCTGCCAGTTTGGGTTTGTTGGCCCCTGAAGCCATGTGACAAAAGAGAATTCTCCAGACCAATGCTGACCCACGGATTTGGGCCTTGCCAGCCACCACAGCCGTGTGAGCCATTTTCTTTGCAGTTCATGAATTGTGTGAGATGTCATAGTGAAATATGGAACCCTAAGATGGGAGGGAGAGTCTGGTGGGAAGGAGGATGACTTGATGGAGCAGTAGAGCAATTTAGAAAACACGGACATTTGGGTCATCTTTAACCTTCACCTCGGGACCAGCCTTGTGCTGATCCTTCTCAAAGAAATTGTTCAAGCAGGCATGCATCAAGACTTCATCTCTCTTTATGGCTGAGTAATATTCATACATATATACATGTGTATGTGTCGTTGTTAGGTGCTGTCGAGTCATTTTCGACTCATGGCGACCCTATGCACAGCAGAATGAAACACTGTCCAGTCCCGTGCCAGCTCCCTGATTCTTGCTATATGTGAGCCCATCACTGCACCCACTGTGTCAATCCCTCCCATTGAGGGCCTCCCCCTCTTTCGTCGAACCTCCACCTTACCAAGCATGACCTCCTTCTCCAGGGATGGTCCCTTCTGATAACATGACCAAAGTAGGTGAGGTGAAGTCTGGTCCTTCTCGATTCCAAGGAGCATTCCGGCTGCACTTCCTCCAGGACAGATTTGTTAGTTCTTTGAGCAGTCCATGGTACTTTCAGCACCACTAGTCAAAAGCATCAACTTTTCTTCAGTCTTCCTTATTCATTGTCCAGCTTTCACATGCACATGCGATTAAAAATACAGTGGCTTGGGTCAGGCACACCTTAGTCCTCAAGGAGACATTTTGCTCTTCAGCACTTGAAAGAGCACCTTTGCA